TCTCTCTCTCTCTCTCTCTCTCTCTCTCTCTCTCTCTCTCTCTCTCTCTCTCTCTCTCTCACACACACACACACACACACACACACACACATTCGAAACGCAGATCTCTCGCTGCACGAAAGCCCACCAAAACCGACAACAACGCAACAACCTTCACCGGAGGAGCACGGACGAACTGTCCTGGCGAGAGGCGATGCAGCGATCGAAAGGTCCCACCCACCGATATAAATAGCACCGCGAACGTCCTTGTCCACCCACGACCTTTTTTTTTTTTTTTTTTTAGGTTGTATTTTTATTTATTTATTTATTTATTCCGACCTACACATAATGTGGTCTGCCTCATCGGTATCCAACCGATCCATTGAGAAGTGGGTGTCAACCCACGAACGACAACAAAATAAAAAAACAATTCTCAAACATCCAACCCACCCCAACCCACATTCACCCCCCCCCCCCCCCCCCCCAAAGGAGAACCCCCCTCCCATACCCTACATTCAAATGAAACCATCATTTGAAGTCCCATTCACACCTGTCGACTTCCCTGGCTTCGCGCGGCAAGAACCCCCACAAGTTGGGCAAGCACCTCATTCCCGCCTACCATTGCATCGGCCACAGCCCCGATCTTCCCTGCCATCTCCCCTATCGGCCCACCTACAATCTCGGCTCCTTTCGTGGTAGCACTCACCATTGTGCAAGCGGCCTGCTCCAATCCGTGGCAGTACGCCTTTGTAGACTCCCGCATAGCAACGGAAAGAGATTGCGGTGAGTCATCATTCCCTAGACTCTCTCTCGACCTTGCCCTCTTCGATTTTGTCCCGCTGTCCGACCCGTCCGACGCATCACGAGCACTCTTTCCCCTTCCACCGCTGCCTGACGATGTCACGTCCTCAGTCTGTGACTGCATGTTGTCGGAAGCCAATGTATGCTCACATGTTACTGACAGTTTTCTCAGTGCCCACCCCATAGCATCCCAAAGGACCTTGTCGAACGCAGGGTGGACGCCCAGTTCACGCCGCTTCTCTGCCATCATCTCCCAGTAGCTCTCATCGCCCGATCTCCCACATTTGTCATTGATCTCCTTCGCCTTGTCCATCAAAGACGCCCATTTCTTCCTGCAATCTTCACCATTGCGCCTGTACCCTGCCTCCCGCATCCTGTTCGATATCCACTCCAATCGATCTTGCCGCCTCATGCACCTATGAGGTCCTGAAGCAGAGGCACATAGTGCATCACCTTCGCCGTACACCCTTGCCAAAGTCACTTGCTCATCCCCGGACCACAACTGAGAGAACTTTCGAGCCGGCTTGTTTGAGGCCCTCTTAGCATCGCTCTCGCCGACAGGAGCATCCGTTATCGTCGCTGCCTCCTTCCCCGACCTCGGAGTAGTGTTCGAAGGTGGCGGCGACGGCGGGCCATCCGGAAGGCTGACGGGCGGGACTGGCAGAGATGATGTTTCCATAGCCGACATATGTTCACTTCCCATGCCGGTTGACGGGCGAGATATGGATGTGTGTTGCCCAGCGTCGCACGGAACATTATTCGCGGACGACTGCACAGTCGTAGAGGGAGGTGGTGATGGCATGGCCGGTGGGAGCGCTGAACGGATAGGCGCCTATGTGTGTTGCACGGCACCCTGTTGATGGATCCCATGCCCCCCCGCGACGCCATATCCGATGCTTGCGAAGGAGAAAACAGGGAGATTCGTCTGGCCATAGCTGCCCTGCATGTGGCTCTGCCCACCAGCGGGGTGGTTCCTCCACTGAGGGAGGGGTGGGAGAGAGGAAGCGAACATTGGCTGCCATGCAACGGAGTTCTGATCATTGCGCACCGATGGCATTGCGTGCGAAGGCCGATCACAGCCAGACCTGCCATGATCGTCTTCCATAGAAGAATCTAGCAAAGATGAAAAGTCTTGTGCAGGCTGGCGCAACCAATGCCGTTGATCCATGGATCAAAGATGTCGCTTGCGGCAAAGGCAGGTGGCGATCAGGAGTATGACAACACAAAGAAGGATGAAAATGAAAAAAAGCAAAACGAAAACTACGGCGACGATGACGAACCATGCATACGCAAAGCGAACATCCACATCCTCGGCTCTCTGTTCAACAACGACGACGTTCCCTACAGGACACGGAAAAGTTCGCTCGAACTTCTTGTGGAAGCCGACGGATAGCGAGGCGTCCGCGCGAAGGACATGCACCCTTCGACCGTCGTTGGTGTCGCTGCAGTTTCACCAAAACAATGGCGATGTTTGCCCGACGTCGGTGGGAAGCCCTGTGTTCTTCCCCCCAACAGCACCATCAACTGCCAAACTGCGAATGAGGGGAAAGCGTGCTGTGACGGGTGTCACGGTGGAGCACCACACTCCACACAACAGCAACGGAGCGAGTCGTCCCCAAACACCCGCCTTTCTGCTCGTCCCGACACGTGACAACATACCCTGCGTCGGAAGACATGCGATGGAGGAGGACATCGACAAACGGCGACACAGGCGAACAGCACTTCCCAGCGAGTGTGCCAGCCCGCACACCTTCCTCCCCTCACGCAAACCTATGGACCACCACCTGCTCATAACGTCACCCACCAAAATGTCCTACTTTTGAACTTCGAAATGGATCGGGTCCTGCTCTTCGTGGCCGTTTATCCCCTTCCTAACGGGCAACCATCACCACGTGCACCCTTCCCAGGTCGTTCGGGTGGTGCGGTGATGCGTCCTTGTCGTTCGTGCCCGTTGAGACATTTGGGACATTTTGTGGGGCGCCTGAACGGACAGGTCCCGCGGTCGGGAGTGTGCGACGGAATTCGAATTTCGGCTGTGTGGACCTGGTACGCGCGCACGACCATCGGACACCGTCGGTTGTCCGCACGCCGTTTCCTTCCGTTTGCGGCGAAGTGCCTCCGCCCACCCTCGTCTTCCCGTTTGGCCATCCGCGACGGCGGCACCGGTGATTTCCAGGGGGACCCTGGGCCGCGGGCTATGTAGAAACGGCCCTCCCTCCCTTTCCAACCCGACCCGAACGGGCCTGTGGGGTCTCCAAAACCTTTCCAAAACTTTTCCAATCCTTTGCCGCAAACCTGTGGGGTCCACCTCTTAGTGTGCATTCAAGGTAAAATTGCCAAGTTGGCACATAGAGAGAACCAATTAAAAAAAAAAAAAAAAAAAGAACCAACCAGATTCCTCTAGTGTTCTTTTTCCTTGTTTTTTTTTCAGGGTAACTTCAGTACAGTCACAAAAAAAGAACAGTTTGAAATTAAACCTCAGGCATTCCCCCAAACACAATACACCCCTACGTAACCCTACCTGACTGAAAACAGGGAAAAGCTAGCTTGTATACATTGCCCAGAGTGCAATTTGAAACCCTTTTTTGCCTGACGTGTATTTTGAAACTCTTTTTGTGACTCCCGCGTAGTTTCCGCTTTTTTTTTCTCGACTCTAGTGTGTTCTTGACTTTCTAAAATTCCTTGAACTACAGATACTCGAGACCCTTCCTTCCTTTGTCTCCTACAGGCGTATGAACGCAATTGAATTTAGCCAGGTGCAGGCAGGCATGTACGTCCACGAGGACCAAGACAGGCCGGCGAGTTAACCCGCTCTGAGCACACCTTGCAAGTCGAGCGCAGGTGGTTTAAACCACAAGACTTAGTACGTTTCCCGGCCATCTTTATCTGACGCGGCATGCATGCGGCCACAAGTTTCAGAGGTCAGCCTACGGGAGCAATGTGGCTGGCAGCTCCAACCGAGGAAGGCCCACACTGACTCCTTTTTTTTTTGGTGCGCAGTGCGTTTTGAGGCTCGGCAAGGGAAGAGTCAAAAGTGGTGTTGGTTGAGATTAAACCACCAGTACTTTTCCCCAGTTGAAAAACAAAGTAACGGCCACATCTTTCGGGAAGTGCCGGGTGCAGTTTCGCTGGATATCCATTCAGGAAAAACGGCCTCGCATGAGACACAGCCTCGCATGCGACCCATTTTGCCCGGATGGATATTATCCAGCTAAACTGCACCCGGCATTTCCCGAGAGTCACAGCCGTTAAACCACTTAGTAGTGCCTTTGAAAGCCGCGGCGGTATACAAGCTGCGACAATGATGAATGAACAGGCCACTATGAAAGCACCCAAATTCATCCGACTGGAAACGCTCAGACTCTTTTTTTTCCAGCGGGTGTATATGGGAAAGGCACTGGTGGTTTAAACGTACGCGACTCTGAAAAAATAGCTGGGAAAGGTACTGTGGTTTAGAGACTTCAGACCATCACTATCTCTTACAACTTCCCTGGTGCAAGGTCCCACTTGCACGTATTAAGAGATAACTTTGGTCGTTGATCTTCACTATCTACAATCAGTATCTCTTAATCAGATTCTGTGCAAGGGGGACCTCGTCCCTGGTTCGCAGGAGGCCTGGCCTTTTCGGTTGGTCTGCTGAAGTGGGAGTCCAATGGCCACAGTTCTGTTTTCCTTTAAACCACCAGTAGCAGGATGCAGCAGGGTGCACTTTTGCCCAACATCCATCAAAATGGGCCTTGCATGCACCCGGGGTGCCGTTTTGCCCGATGCAGCCCCCTGCATAAGGATGACAGGAGCAGCCCGACAGGTAAGCCTTCAATTCGGACGGTTCTCTTACCACCGCCAGGATAGAGGGATACCACAAGGGCCTTTACCAAAAAAAAAAAAAAGGATGACACTCATGAATAAAGAAACCGTCCAAATTTTTGGCGTTGCAGGGGGTTCGCAGGTAGATTTTGCAACGAATTTGTCCACCGCTGGACCCTTTTGGAGAACGTGAAAAAGGAGTGCCGCAGTGGGTTTGTTTTCAACTTGGCATTCAGCACCAGGCGCTCACAGGGAAAAAGAAAGGGAAAAAAAAAAAAAAAAGAAACAACGCCGGCCGGACGCAGCTTTTTTTGAAACCCTAAAGGCAAAAAGAACTTGCCCCGCCAGAGAAACCACAGTGCCAATTCGAAATGCGCAATTTTCGGTCCAAAAGTATCGGTTAGGCAATTATTATTTTTATATTTTTTCCCCCTTTGACACCACGGGCCACCCCTGTAAATATGACACCCAGTCTAACACCACGGCAGTCGGTTGCCTTTTTGAACTCCGTGCAGTTTTCATTGCGGATGCGGTTTTTTTTTCCCATTCGATACTCAAAGGTGACATGAAACAAATTAACCCCCCAAAAAAGAAGAAGAAGTTGGACCTCTGTTTGGAATGCCTGCAAAATACCTCTCCAAATTTTGGACTCCACATCCTCCGATAAATGTGGATTCATAGGCGGCAACAGGCCTCAATCATCTTTTTGGTAATATCAGCCTTGGGCACTGGGCCTGTTTAAAAAACAAAAAAGAGCAACGACAACAGGACGGAGTACTAGAGAGAGGAAGAGAAATCAAGGTGGACTACACAAATAGATATAGAACCTTTAAGATTGGATACGATCGGCAGATCCAGCGTTTACGTTAAGGCAGAACCCAGATGATCATACCCATCTCACGGTGCCAATTCAAGAAATACATTGTTTGAATTACACCTCCAAGTCACCTGACAGCAGCGACAGTTGGGGTTTCAGCGCTATCTGGCGACCAGGGAGTAGAGTGCAGTGGGAAAATATACTGGGAAAGAAAAGAATGGCAGTAAGGAAGTATTATGAAGGTGGTATAAGTTCACAAACTGCGCATTGACAGGATGGGAGTAAAATGTATTCCACACCCGGCGGACCGGGGGGGGGGGGGGGGGGGGGGGGGGGGGGGGGGGGGAGGAGAAGAAAGGAAAGAGAGGTTCAGACTCTTCAGAGGTAGTGGTGGTTTGAAAAGGAAAAACAACAACAAAAAAAAGAGGGTCCCGGAGGGAAAGGCACAACAATCCAGCAGACTCTTCCTCCCACAGAGGCGTTAAAAAATGAGACACAGGACTGAAAAGTGACATATGGACTCACACAAGCGCTCACATGAAAACAAAAAAATTGAGGTGCGGGCTGAGTCTGGTTGACCTCCTGAAAATCAACCCAAAAGATCACCAGAAGGGCTGTCCCCGAGATGGCTCGCCAAAAAAAAGCACCAATGCCCCATTTGCATTCAGACGGCGCCCCGGTTGTAAGCGCTAGGAAGCGGCCTGCACTCTTTTTTTTTCCTGCTTTTTTTTAAATAGCCCAGGTTGTTATAGAGGCTGGATTACAGACACATGAGACTCTTTTTTTTCCTTTTTTTAAAAAAATAGCCCAGGTTGTTATAGAGATTGGATTATCCCCAAAAAAAAAAAAAAAAAAAAAAAAAGAGATTGGATTACAGACACATGAGAGTCACCTTCGGCAATAGGCCCAGTGGTAGAGGGGCCCTAATCCTATGGGACCCCCTCCCAGCCTACCCCTTTCGTAATTGCTGGCAGCGGCCTGCACTCTCAGATAGCCGCTAGGAAGCGGCCTGCACTCACAGGTAGACCTCACCCGAGGTGCGACAGAGGTTGTGGGGTACTTGTGGCCCATGTGGGAACATAACGCACCCTGCTCATGTATGCATTGAGGCCATATTT